TTATTAGTGTTTTCCCGCCAACTTAAACAATAAATTGGAAACCACACAATGATTAAAGCTGAGATTCCTTGTTACTGCACTGAGACTCAAACCAAATACCGTCTTGCAGCCACTGGACCTGACCCACTATCGACGACATAGAGTTGGTGGCTGCCTTTGGCACCAGTCTGATAGGACTATGGCTTGAAACACCCAGAGAGAGATTTTCCCACTTCAGGTGGTGAAGCTCCCACGCTGCTCATCAGCCATTGAGATCTAGTTAGAAATTGCCGTGCAATATCAAAGAACTGACCATATCCAACAGCTTCACAATGATACACACAAGGCTGTAACATAGTCTTCTAGAGGCAGAACAGAGGAGAGCAACAAGGATAATCTCTAGTGTTAGAGGAACAAGCTGGGCCAAGAGACGAGCGGCTGCAATCTCTCTGCAGAATCCATGATAAACTACGCTCTCCACTATAAACCCGCTATAAATAAAGTTCCAGGCCCCGGGCCTCTGTGCTGTTTATCCACTGTTACTGTGGACGGAGCAGCTCTGGACACAAACAGCAAATGGGTTTTGCTCCACTTGGGAGGCCCCCGCTGTTAAGATTGTCTGTATCTCTCTGTGTCTGTATGCTTGTGCGGGTGCGTGTCTGTGTGCCTCTTTCTCTCTATGTATGTGTGTTTGTGTGTGTCCATGTGAGTGTCTGTTTTTTTTCCCACAAAAATATAGTCAATTTACTTTACAGTATATCTTGTAAGCGCTTTGAGACATCTCCACAATGTGATATGGTGCTAATATCGGAGTCCTGTAGCTCAGTAGTTAGAGCACTCGCTTTGCAAGTGAGAGACCTGAGTTCAATTCCAGGCAGAGGGCGAAACCTTGGGCAAGTTTCCTTACTCCACACAGAGCCTAATAATAATCCCTCCAAAACCAAAAACAATAATTAAATTGGTCATTTTCAATCTACGACTGTTTGTGGGACATTGCTGTGCGCAATTGGCTGCCGCGTTCGCCCACAAATATACAGTCAATTCACTTTACAGTGTGTTCTGTGAAGCGCTTTGGGATGTCCTCCCGACGTGAAAAGCGCTATATCAAAATGCAAGGATTATTATTATTATTATTATTGCAAGGATCATTATTATTACGTATGTGTGTTCGTCTGTGAGTGTCTGCGTAAGTGCATCTCTCTCCTCTGTAGGTAGGTAGGTAGGT